ATTGGCAACACAAATCCAAATGAACGACACTACGATTTGTCTAGCAAATGTCTAGTTCAAAGGACGACAAATCATCGCAATTAAATGTTGCTAGTCATCCTTAAAACCAAACATTAACTATACCAATCGTTCAGTGTCCACTCTTTAAAGAGTTTCAAATCTAAAGCTTGACTTCAACTTTATTTATTAAGGCTATCATGTAATAAATTGGCAGACACAGACCAAATCCTTGATTTTTGAAGTTTTTACTATCTTTTGTTCAAAATAACATCAATTTTATTTTTAATACCCTACCAAATAAGATCAATGATCTCAATTTCTGAAGTCCAAAACTGTACGCAATTTTAATGACTTTGTTTTTGAGCCATAAAGTATTAAATAAGGAGCTATGACTAGTTGAAAAAAACCCAATAAATCAAAATCATTGAAATTTAAATAATCATCATTTAATACATTAAAATCACAATAGAATGTTGTTTTTATGATAAGGCAAATATAGAACGAACTCTATTCATGTTATCCAAAGTTCAAGCTTCTAAATATGCCAAGTATTATCACATGTGTATCTCTAGATTGTTTACTTTAACAGAGATTTGATTTTATATTTCCCAAAAATAGTTTTACGACCTTTTGAAATTTCTTAATTTTCCGATTCATTTATTAAAATTCTATAAAAGTTCCCCAATTTGTCAACCTTAAACTTAACGTTTTTCTTAATAATTTTACGATCGTCAGTTATAAAATTTCAATATGTCTATTACAGAAATAATCATAACGATATCTAGTTAGTGTCACTCTCATAAAAACAATTTTTATGATTGAAAAATTTGAGCAAAGCGACGATGTGAGAAAAAAATAAGAAATTTGTTTTATTGCTCATTCAAGGTATTTTAGACGACATTAAATTTTTAACTCTTAAAAAAAAGCAAATAAAAAGAAGAAAATTTTCATAATTTCTCACAGTTTGCAGCCAAGAGTTTTGGCATTAAACAATGCGTGCGGTCATTTGTAAATAATTTAATTTGCCTCAAGCATAACTTCATATTTAAGGAAATGGTTACAAAATAGAAAGTCTAATCGATTATCGAAATGTCAAGCAACAGCTGACAGTTAATCTTTTGAAGAGTATGACTAATCAATGTCAACAATTGCCGAAAATAATTTGTATGAATTTTAATATTATGTGACTTTAAATTGTCGCGACGTCCATAAAACATAAGCATGCCTTATTTGAACTATATATTTATTCTTAATAGTCCAGACAATAATAATAATGCGCCATAAATTAAACAATACAATACAAAAAGCATTAAAATCGATTCAGGTTGGATTAATCCTTAAAAGTTGCACATTGTTGATTGCATAACAATAAGCCATGCAGTAATCGAAATTCAAGCTATGGACATTTGAGAAAAAATCAGTTACAAAAGATTTTGAATTATAAAGCATAAAATTTAAAAATTGATTGGCAGTTATTTTTCAAATATTTTTAAACCGTTATTTTATGAAACTTAATTAGGAGTTCTTAAGTTTCAAATGTTCAATCTCTAATGACCAAAGCATGATTTTCCTCATACGTGAAATCTCAGCAGTATGCAATTTGAATTATTGCATTAAATATTCATTATAATTCCACTCTTTTAATGCTCTCAATGGGATATTGCATTTTTGAGAATAAATTGCTCTTTAATATTGAAGAAATCACGGGAATAAAGATTATGCACCTGGCGCTCGAGCAATATTCCACATTTTTATTGCCTTATCTATCGCTATTTTCTTGCTTATTCCATCTTCTCATAAGCCTCAAATTGATTTTTTTCGTTATCTCAAAAGTCTCATAAATATTTTCGCTTGCTGCTTCCTCTACAGTCTATAATACACAAAACATACAATAGATTGAACAATCTCGAGATCCCACTCTTATTTCTGAAACTGTTGCTGTTTTGTCGGTGCCAAACAGCGGATGAAAATAAAGTCTTTTGTATTCAAAATCAAAGAAACTAAAACTTTTCGTCTGGACAATATGGGTTCGTTCACTTATTACGTAACGCACTAGGGGGGGAGGGGGGGTCTAAGATTTTGTTATTGTTTGTTACAGGGGGAGGGGGGGGTCTAAATTTTGTTACGTAACTTTTCAAAAATTATATTTTTTTATAATTTTTTCTATATTAATTTTAAAATTTTTTTAACGTTAAATTTTAACTTAAGAACATTTTCAACCAATTTGGGAAAACGACTAATGATTACAAAACTTATGAGTTTTTTTTTGCGTTTAGTTAATAATATGGATGTAAACGATTAATATATTTTTTTATTGCTTTCCTTCTATTTACTTTTACATACTTAAAGGAAGTATAATAAACATTTGATAAACAATTTAAATGAAAAAAATTATTGTTACGTTATGGGGGGGGAGGGGGGGTCTAAGATTTTGTTACGCTTTGTTACAGGGGGGGGAGGGGGGGTCTAAAAACTCGTTTTTTTGCGTTACGTAATAAGTGAACGAGCCCTATGGTCTAGAGCTTAAATGATACATCAATTACCATTTTTTGTGTAAATCTCATGAGATTAAGCCTTATATGGAAGTTACTCGATAACTCGTCAAACATAAATTGATCATTGATCATAAAAATATTTGAACAGCAATTAGATGCTCAATATTTGCCATAAGTACATAAAAATCTTCAATTATCAAGAATGAGCCTTAACAATGACAGTAATGAGCTTTGTTTATCACAAAAAAATTTAATTGATCATCAATGTCAGCTTAAAGCGTGCGAAGTAAAATTCTCATTGTCGGCGCTGATTTGTTTTTAAACAACAAGCCAATTAATATCAATTTGTGAGCCTATTTGCTACCACTTTACTACCAAAAATTACACATATTCAAATTGTTATGGAGAGAGCAAAAAAATTATCTGTTAGACCTTCTTCATTGAAATAAACATAAATATGTATTTTAAAAATTTGTTAAGGTAACATCCGCTGTACGACTCTTGAGAGTATTGCGGGTATTGAAACACACTTGATGTGTGATTTTTGAGAAGGTAGAGACGACAAGTAAGTTATGCATGATACCTGAAAGATATAAAGACGAATAACACCAGTTTGGGATAGGTTTAGTCTAAATTTTGGAACGAATTCTATAATATTGATTTTTGAAAAATTTAAAATTAATTTGGAAAGTAAAATGACGGAAAATCTGACTGGATCTTTCAACATTTTGCATCAACATTTCTAATATGATAAATAACTGGGTCCAAACGTTTTTACCCACCACTCAAGTGACACGATTTAGTCGCTGGAATGCTAATACTTCAGCTATCTTTTTTGAAAGCCAAAGATAACCAAGTCTAAACTAGAGGTTGGTTCTTATTAACCTCTGAATTACCCGAAGCAATTCATAAGGCTGCTCAAAGCCACCATTGAGTCAAAAATCGATGTGCTGTTTCTAGAAAGAAGTTTCAGATCCAATTGGGGGAGCATATTTTGTTGGAAAAAAATTTGTTGGATCGGAATTTTTTGGAACGGATTTTGTTGGAAAATAATTTGTTGGAAGTGAAAAAATTTGGAATGGAAAAATTTGGAAGAACATTTTTTTGGAACGGATTTATTTGGAAAATAAAAATTTGGAACTCATTTTTTTTGGAACAGAAATTTTTGGAAAATACATTTTACCTGAATGTTCAACTGTTAAATCTTATATAGCGTTTTAATCCTTCATACATAAAATGAAATTAAAGAAAATATATTTTTGAGAAAAATATCATTGACATTAGATTATGAAAGCTTATTTCTTTCTTACTCCACTTATCCGAAGACTTTCCCCGTCACTCACGTATAATTTTTGGAAATTTCGCTATGTCTTCATTGGAGTAAGTGATGCTTTTATTGATATTTATGTTGGTGATCAAATTACTATTTTTATGAAAAATTCAATAACAGAAGTAAGCTAAATCTGAAAACATACTTAATTTTACTCTTTAAATTAAATCCATTTTTTTTTGTTTTTTGTTCTTTAAATTAAATCCTTAAAAACACTTAAACATGGTAATAAAATTTTAAAATTATTTATTTTTTGAATTTTTACTTGAGGTTTCTTATAAGATTTAATAGTTGAACATTCAGGTTCAAATCATATTTTCCAAAAATTTCTGTTCCAAAAAAAATAATTTCCAAATTTTTATTTTTTAAATTTTTTATTTTCCAAATAATGCACTTCCAAATAAATCCGTTCCCAAAAAATGTTTTTCCAAATTTTTCCATTCCAAATTTTTTCACTTCCAAATAAATATTTTCCAACAAAAAATGTTCCGCCATCCAATTTACATATTAAGCATATCATTTCCAACAATTCCTCATCGTAGATCACGATAAAATAAAATTCTCACGTTCCTTTCACAAATATTCTACATAATCCCATCTTTAAATTCTCATAAGCTTTCCAAAGTGTTAAAAATTGACCTGAGAGAGAATACTGACCTTTACACACAATATCCAAATCGACATCACATTGTGTTGTACCAGCATATTTCAGTCATAGAAAGCAAAAAAATAAATAAAAACAATACAATTCGTAGGTTGAAATTCTTCGTACCGAAAAGGTGCTGAAAACCTTCTTGATCGCTGTATTTTATAAATTCCAAAGGAGTTCCACAGATGAATCCTCAATTGAGCTATGAGCAGCACACATTACGTCAAAATTAGCATGAAACAATACCTGCTATTTAAAGACAAAAAGTCGTGTTGAGTGCACACTGAATGGCATTGAAATTTTGTTTAAATCTATAATAAGAGAGTAAATAATAGTTTATGATTGAAGTAACAGAGATCTGAAAATTTGTGTGGGCAAGCATATTTGTGTACGTTTAATGAGATGACAAAAGTATTGGCATTGCATGTACAACTGCCATTTAGTCGTTTGTGAGTGGCTGAAGACAGACGATTGAGTTAAGACAGCAACTGGAATTAAATCTTAATTTTCTATCTAATTATTATAGGATGTGGTGGACGATTACAGGCAATTTTGGTAACATTTTACCCATTGATTGGTCTAAATCTTTTGCAAAACAAATGCACGTTCCAGCATTAAAATTGAACGAGCGAGCAGCAATAACGCCCGATGACGAAATTCAAGATTTAAGTTCGGAGGATGAGGCAGTTGCGAATGACTTGGATTTACATCAATTAATACTTGGCGGCATGCAAGCTGATCACGGACCTATTCAGACAGCTGAGGAAGTGATGAAAGAGATTGATGACATAATGGATGAGCACACACCATCGGAAGGTGATGTCTTGGAGAGTGAGGTAATGGAAAAGGCAAAAGAAGTTCTCGGCTCACCATTATATGAAGACAGTAAGTTCTATATCCATTTTTTAATTGCTTTTAGTCATAAAAACTATTTTAATTTACAGAATTAAAGGAAATGACGATAGTACAGTTGAATGATCTCTATATGGAAATGGAAGTTCTAATTCGTGAATTTTCTGAAACACTTATATCGGAGCTTGCACTTCGTGACGAATTGGAATACGAGAAAGAGTTGAAAAATACATTCATTTCATTATTGCTCGCTGTACAGAATAAGCGGCGCCAATATCATGTAGAAAAGAAAAAGGGAAAAATGCAATCATCAATGACGTCATCGACGCAATCGTTAAATGGTGGACAAAATGGCACCAGCCCAAGACCAAATGGTCTCGGTGTGAATTCATCAACAGATCCTAAATATTTAACTACGGTCATTCCGTATCATTTAGATGCTGGACCTCCTGAGAATCAGGCACTACAAGTGCTTATTAAAAGTAAGTTTTGAACATTTTATAAATGTCTATTTAACATAATTAATTTTGAATTTTAACTCTTTTACAGTTTTGAAAGCCATAAATGAGGATAGCCCAACAGTTCCAACTTTGCTAACCGATTACATATTAAAAGTCCTGTGTCCCACGTGAACGCAACTTAAAGAGCTTACACTAACGTAAAAGAAAAAGTGAAGAAAATTTCCAATTTATGATTTTTCGGTGTTCTCTCTAAATTCTATTAATTGCAATTAATTGAGAATGAAAAACTCAAGTTGATTGATTAGTCATATACCACTGAAAAAATGAGTTGTTTCCTGTTTCCTATTTCCCTGTCCACTCCCTTCAAATGAGAAAAATTATAATCATTATGAAGCCTATCAAAAATTCTATCTTAACAATATTAATTAACATTATTAACTTCAATGTGCTTTCTAAATTAAGAAAGAAAAAAAATGTTTGAATGATAAGCAGCCTTTATGCCTAGTATAAAATTCACATTTACATACATACGAACTTATTTGCTCATTTATCTGCACGCACCTTAAATTTTTTTCTTCTTTTTCTTGAATTAATAATTAATTATTTTCCCCAATACGGCAATGTCTTACATATGAGTGCTTGTGAGCAATACAACATTAATGGTAGTTTAAAATTTAAATGCAAACCAATTTAAATTCAAATTATCCGTTAAAAGCCTCTAAAGCTAAAAATGAACAGACATTAAAGTTTTCATCATTACTAATTCCCTTCACAAAACGAAAAATCGAAGTTAAAAAACATGTTGAATTTTTTTTAATTTTTTAAAAAATGGACTGTGTGATATTATTTAATTATAATTAAAGTGAAACAAACAAAAATGCTGATAATTTTATTTATTTAAGTTAATAAGTTTTAAGTATCGATTTATTGTATATTTGCACCTGAGCAGCCTAGCTTGGACGACCATACAAAAAAAAACTCTTTCTTTTATGCTCTTTTGTTTTAAAAGCAAACAAATAAAATTCGAATGACTGAAATGAGTTATGAACTCGCGATATGAAAAAAAGTAGGAGAAAGAAAGAAAGCAGTCATGCCATATGTAAAATTTTATAAGTTAAGAATGTGAGTTAATTAATTTGCTCTCCTTTTGTAAATAGCAGAAGAAAATTGATAATCTATGAGAAGTATTGACAAGCTTTACAAGTCGCAATATCAAAGTCCTCAAAACAGTTATTAGTTCCGACAAACAACTAGAAAAATTGTTAAAGATATTTATCATAAAGAAATAGTGTCCAACATACGACTTATGAATGTGTTCAGTAAAGTTTTTTGATAGTAATAGAGTTGTAGCATTTTAATCCTTGTTGCTGACAAAGATCCAGCTTATCAAAGCTTCTCATATCGACCTATTTACTTTCCTCTTTATGTATCCTGCATTTTATGAATGAAGCAGTTTGTTGCTTTATTTTCTCATACAAATTAAAGTCATTTTGTGGTTCAGTTGATATTAAAAGCTGGCTATAGCTGCTTTCGACATTTCGAATTAGTTGGATGTTCTTACACATTTAAGAACGTAAAAAAGCACCAATTTTGGCAAAGCATCTAAATTTCGATCCCACAAAACATTTTTGTATGAGAAAACACAGCTAAAATTGCAATTAAATTAAAATTAGAAATGACACAAAAAGTTTGTATAAAGGACGTAGTCAAGAATGCTAAAAAATTATTCACATTAATTACACACATATTATGTAAAAGCATGAAGATATTAGATTTGATGTTAAATCATTCGCTATAATCATGTAGATCAATAAAGCGCAAAATAAAATTCTTTAAAAAAATCCTTTTCTGCATTTTACATGTTGTCATTAAGAGTTATGAAGTGAAAATTAAAAATAAATTAAATTTGTCTTTCATCAATTTAGAAGAAAAAAAAAATAATAATAATAAATTAAAATTTCAAGAGCTTCTTTTATTTTTTATACATATGGAATTAATTAATTAATTGCTGCACCTTTAAACGTAAAAAAAAGAATCCATTTAATAACATTGTATCCAAGTTTAAAACTGTAATACTCAAAATCTATTATGCAGCGGACATTAATCGAGACTGGTCGAATTTTGTGGAAATTTCAAATTTTGACAAATTGAAATTTTCATAAAATTGAGACCATTACAAGCCTCAAGCAGATGAAAACTATGAGAAATTCGCAAAAAATTAATATGCATAATAATTATAACAATAAAAAATAATTAAGATTAATATATACAGAAATCAGATACACAATTCACATCTTCTACGACAGCTATGGCCGAGAAATTAAAAGTAAATTGAATGAAATTGCTTGAATTTTTGCGCAATTCTTCATTTCTCTTATTGTCTTAAAAACTACAATTCTCTTGCTAATAAAATAATAATAATTATAATTATAATAATGTGAATTGGAAGGCATAAATCTTCAAATATGTATGAAGAGAATGGATTTCATTAAATTAACAAATAGAGAAAATTATGATCAAATTGATGTAACATTCGATATTTGTAAAACCAAAACTTATATAGCTATTTAAACTAAATTAAAACAGATAAAAAAAAGGCATGTTTATAAGAGAAAATTATGATTAAAAAAACTAGCTTGAACATGAAATATTGAAATATATTCAGAAAGGAAAGATTGTATTAAGAATGGAATGAAATAAAGAAACGCTTCGATACAGAATAAAAATCATAAAACATTTGGCATTATCATTTAATAATAGCTTGAGATTTCAGAGATTCAGCATAAAGTCCTTCAAAAAACCGTTGGAGAAAATTTTAAATTTTATGTTGTCTTTGTGAAATTTCAAATATTTTTTTACCGTTAAAAATTAAACAAACGAAATGATGATTTTATAGCTTGAACTCTAGGGGTGGCGAACAGAGCTATTACCGTTAAATTCGGAAAAATTTGAATATATTTTTAAAACTCACTTACACCAACATAAAATATTCGAATGTAAACATTGAAAATGTTTTATTGAAATTTGACTTAATTTCAACTAATTTTGTGTGCAGGACATGATGAGTTGCTTAATGCAGCTTTAGTAAAGATTAATGGATGCTTTAAACAAGCTTTAGAGTATGATTTAATGGATAAATTAAAAAAATGCTTGAACTGAATTAAACATAGATTTATATTAAACCTTTATCTCCCAATGTTCTATTTACAAGGCTATCTAGTTGCAGTTCAAGCTACATCAAGGAATAAGATCTTTTTAAACATTTCTAATAAATACCTTGCATACAGACGTTACTTCTCACTATTCTTCTTTTCAATCAGCTCATCCAAATGCGACGATATTTCCCTGAGTACTTTATGCGAATATTTGGTTCTATTGCATTCACTATGCTCAGTTATGTCGATGAATTTCTTAGTTCGTTGATCGAGTATTTCAGCATCATCTTTGAGTCCTTTAACAAGCTCTTTTTGATCAGATCCAATGAATATATTAGCTACTTCCTTCATCAAATCTTGTTCCTCTTTCTTTAGCTGCTCTAGCTTTAACATCAATTCCCGATTTTCCTTTTCCATTTCTAGGAACTTGTTTTGTTCATAATCAATCTTCTTTTCTAATGATTCAGTTTTATTTGCATTCCGACGCTTTAATTCATGATTAACTAGATCCTCGACCTTTTCTCTAATCATTTTCTTCTCGGAGTATGAAAGATTAATTTTTGACAACTGGAAGTTATCAAGATCTACAAAATAGGCTTATTTAATCAACTGGATCTGTTTATTCTAATGGATTACATACCTAGCAATGTCTCTCCATTCCCCAAATCTATGTAGTCACTGATTCTTACGGATAATAATGCATGTTCAATGTTTTTCTTTGATTCAGCAGAAATATTGCTTGGAAAGTCTTGAATCGTCAATTTTGAAAGACATTCCAATATTAGCTCATTCTTGGACAGCTTCTTATGCTCTTCATCATAAATTCTCTTCAGATCCTCCTCGGAATTAGCGAATAAAGTCTTATTAAGAAAATCCATTTTATTATTGACGGTTTTTTCGCAACTCAAATTCAAAAATACTTCGTTTTTTAAACACAAAAAAGTAAGCAATTCAAAAATTAAAAATTCGTTAAGAATAAATTTGTACTTTATTAGGTAAAATTGCGAAATAATGCTTAAATACTGTATAATTGAGTAAACTTAATGCTGTATCTGGTACCATTGAGGATTCCACGGTCGTATTACAAGCCTTTTCTTCTTCGTTGGCTCTGGATGAGGTAATTCTTTTACGATTTGTTCTTTAGGCTCTTCATCATCACTGACTTTTGTCCATAGCTCATCCAGCTCACTACTATCTGAATCATAGACATACTTAGCATTGTTCTTGCCAGCTAATCTATCTTCTAAAGCTTTCTGTGCCTGCATTACGCTGTCATAACTAGGTATTTCGATTCGATTTACTTTCTTGTCTTTTGGTTCTTTTGGCACTTTCTTCTTCTTTTTCTTCGACTTCCTTGGCTTATTTAATGAAAAATCTTCATCGTGTAAATCATCTGGCGTGTCTATGTCACTTTCACTGTCTGAATTCTGGGATTTTTCCTTTTGTTCAGGCTCTTTTTGCGTACAAGTCCGTCTAGGACGTTGGACATCGTAATATGAGTGATCCAAATCAATTGATGCCATTGTAGCACCTTAATTATAATTTGTACGCTGATTTCATCGGTTAATTATAGTAGAATTAAAGATTTTTGAATAATTTTTTGATGAATTTTATTGTTTACAAACAATGATTAATTTGTAAACACGTCTGATCTGGTTGATTGCTAATCAGGCTTAGCGAAGATTTTTGTGTACACTTTATTTGAATTTCAGAAAACCGTTTTTCCTATTGTTATGACTAATCCATGTGACTCTAAAGTGATTGGATTGTGTAAGTTATTTTGGACACAATATTTGAATTGGAAAAATCATCATCAAAAAGTTCAGAAATTTGTGAATTAAATTAATTTCTCTATTAAATACGTAGTTAAAGACTATTCAATATGCCGGATCATTTAGGAGACGATATGAGGAAGGTGAAGGTAGAAGAAAAGGAAAAAGAGGAGAAAGAAATTAAAGGTAAAATTGATAAAAGTGTAAATTTGTCAAGTCATTCATTCTGATCTTTGTGATTTTATTTTTAAATAGATCTCGATGAAGGTGATATTGAGCTGCTCAAAACTTATGGACAGGGTCAATACCATAAGAGTATCAAGACAATAGAGGATGATATTCAGAAAGCGATAAAACAAGTAAATGAATTGACTGGAATTAAGGAAAGTGATACAGGATTAGCTCCACCAGCTTTATGGGATTTAGCAGCTGATAAACAGACACTCCAGAATGAGCAGCCATTGCAAGTAGCTCGCTGCACAAAGATCATTAATGCTGATTCAGATGATCCAAAATATATAATTAATGTCAAGCAGTTTGCTAAATTCGTAGTAGATTTAGCTGATTCCGTTGCACCGACAGACATAGAAGAAGGAATGCGCGTTGGCGTTGACCGAAATAAATATCAAATTCATATTCCTTTACCACCAAAAATTGATCCAACAGTTACAATGATGCAGGTCGAAGATAAGCCTGATGTCACGTACTCGGATGTTGGTGGATGTAAGGAACAGATTGAAAAGCTTCGAGAAGTCGTTGAAACTCCATTACTTCATCCAGAAAAGTTTGTTACACTCGGTATTGAGCCACCAAAAGGAGTTTTACTCTTCGGACCTGTAAGTTCTATCATATTCTTTAATTATCAATGTCTAATAGCTTTAATTTGTATGCAGCCTGGAACTGGTAAAACATTGTGTGCTCGAGCAGTCGCCAATAGAACTGATGCATGCTTTATTCGTGTCATTGGATCAGAATTGGTTCAAAAGTATGTCGGAGAAGGTGCTCGAATGGTCCGTGAATTGTTTGAAATGGCTAGAAGTAAGAAAGCATGTTTGATCTTTTTTGATGAGATTGATGCTATTGGCGGTGCCCGATTTGATGATGGTGCTGGTGGAGATAATGAAGTTCAGAGAACTATGTTGGAATTAATTAATCAACTTGATGGTTTTGATCCTCGAGGAAATATTAAAGTTCTTATGGCTACAAATCGACCAGACACATTAGATCCAGCATTAATGCGTCCTGGACGTCTCGATCGTAAAGTAGAATTTGGATTGCCTGATTTAGAAGGAAGAACTCACATTTTTAAGATTCATGCTCGCTCAATGTCAGTCGAACGTGATATTCGCTTCGAATTACTTGCTCGATTATGTCCCAATTCGACTGGTGCTGAAATCAGATCAGTATGCACAGAAGCTGGTATGTTTGCGATTCGTGCAAGACGTAAAGTAGCAACAGAAAAGGACTTCCTTGAAGCCGTGAACAAAGTCATTAAGAGTTATGCTAAATTCTCAGCAACACCACGCTACATGACTTATAATTAAGCATATATTTGATGTACTTTAGGTTCCACATTTATTAATATTCGTGTATTTTCATTTTTTTTCATGATTAATAAAAATTTCTTCTGAAAATAACGAACTTTTTGGATTTGAATTTCACCTCTATAATATCAACAACTATTTTTCAATCAGATTGCACTCAAAATCATCAACAAAACAATTGAGAAAAATTAAATTTGACTTAAATTAATTAATTTAACCATGGAGAAGCCACAGAAAATGCCGAAAGTTGCAAAAGTAAAGAATAAAGCACCAGCAGAGATACAAATTACTGCAGAACAGCTGCTGCGTGAGGCAAAAGAAAGAGATTTAGAAATTTTACCTCCACCACCAAAACAGAAAATATCAGATGAAGCTGAACTAGCTGATTACCAGCAAAGAAAGAGAAAAGTCTTTGAGGATAACTTGCGAAAGAATAAAAGTGTAAGTAATGAATATATTAATTGATAAAATAAATAAATTTAAACGTTTATAATCGTACTTTTCAGGTTGTCAGTAACTGGATCAAGTATGCACAATGGGAGGAATCACAGAAGGAGATTAAAAGAGCTCGTTCAATTTGGGAACGTGCATTGGACAATGATCATCGAAACATCACATTATGGCTGAAATATGCAGAAATGGAAATGAAGAACAAGCAAATTAATCATGCCAGAAATCTTTGGGATAGAGCCATAACAATCATGCCTAGAGTCAACCAGTTTTGGTATAAATACACATATATGGAAGAGATGCTTGAAAATGTTGCAGGAGCACGTCAAGTTTTTGAAAGATGGATTGAATGGCAGCCAGAAGAACAAGCTTGGCAAACATACATCAACTTTGAGCTTAGATACAAGGAACTAGATAGAGCTAGAAAAATCTATGAACGATTTGTTATGGTACATCCAGAAATTAAGAATTGGATTAAATATGCGAGATTTGAAGAGACTCATGGATTTATTAATAGCGCTAGAACTGTCTATGAACGAGCAATTGAGTTTTATGGCGATGATCATATGGATGAGCGACTATACATTGGATTTGCCAAGTTCGAAGAGAATCAGAGAGAACATGATAGAGCTCGAGTGATTTACAAGTATGCATTAGATCATTTACCAAAAGAAAAGTCACTGGATCTTTATAAAGCATATAGTATTCATGAGAAAAAGTTTGGTGACAAAGCTGGCATTGAGGATGTGATCACGTCTAAAAGAAAGTTCCAATATGAGCAGGAAATCCTTGAAAATCCAACAAACTATGATGCTTGGTTTGATTACATCAGATTAATTGAGAATGAAGGAGAGGTGGACATAACGAGAGATAAATACGAACAAGCTATTGCTAATAAGCCTCCTGGAAATGACAAAAATCTCTGGCGTCGATATGTTTATTTATGGATTAATTATGCATTATTTGAGGAACTAGAAACTGAAGATATTGAAAGAACTCGAGAAATCTACAAGACATGTCTTGAGCATATCCCTCACAAATTATTCACATTCAGTAAAATTTGGCTTTATTATGCACAATTTGAAATCCGTCAAAAGAATCTTCAAATTGCTAGAAAAACACTTGGAATGGCTATTGGAATGTGTCCACGTGATAAAATCTATCGTGGATATATAGAAATTGAGATCCAGTTACGTGAATTTGACAGATGTCGAATCCTTTATGAAAAATTCATTGAATTTAATCCAGAAAATTGCACGACATGGATTAAATTTGCGGAACTAGAGACACTACTCGGTGATGCTGAACGAGCCAGAGCTATTTACGAATTAGCAATTAATCAGTCTCGTTTGGATATGCCAGAATTATTATGGAAAAGTTTCATCGACTTTGAAGTGCAGCAAGGTGAAATTGAGTATGCTAGACAGCTTTATGAGCGACTACTCGAGAGATCTGGTCACGTAAAAGTTTGGATATCGTACGCGAATTTTGAGCTTACTTCCGAAACAACAGAGGATGGCATGAATGTCTCATTAGCAAGACGAGTTTATGAGCGAGGAAATGATGGGCAAAAGAATCTTAATGACCGCGATTCAAGAGTTTTACTGCTCGAGTCATGGAGAGATTTTGAAAAAGAACATGGCGATGATGAATATCTTGAAAAAGTGCTTGCAAAAATGCCACGACGTGTCAAGAAGCGACAAAAGATTGTATCAGAATCAGGCGAAACAGAAGGTTGGGAGGAAGTTTTCGACTACATTTTCCCAGAAGACGAAATGGCTAAACCTAATCTTAAACTTCTTGCTGCTGCTAAAAACTGGAAAAAGAATATGGATGTCCCAATTAGAGCATCTAATGATGGCGATCAAGGAAATGACAATAATGACTTAGACCGAGATGATTCTGAAGAGAGCAGCGACTCAGAGAAACAAGACGGCGATGAATAAACATTTTCTTTTTATAAATTAAGTATTTTAAATAAAAATAATAGGAACTAGCTATTTCCACAAGAATTTTCGCGTGTATTTATTTAAAACTGTCGCATACACTACACGACCAACTGACGATAGGGGAAAAAATGTTATTTTAAGGAGTGTTTTCGTCATGAGACTATACAATCATAATTGGCAGCAGTAATGTATAAAAAGTATAAAGTAAATAGGACAAAATGTATTCAAATTACGTTAAAGGATTGGAAATAAAACTGGTTGTGTAATTGATATCAGTAGCTTGCCAAAGTCCATTCCTGGATTAGCTGGATGATTGAGGCAAGGTTGATAGTTTTGATGCATTTTGTCTTTGAAATTTTTAAAATATTTGCTGTTTTAGTGTTTTGAAGCACTTTGTAGCTGTTGTAAGGTTTTTAAAAATACCGACATTTAAAGATTTCAAATATTATTGAAGCAATACAACAGCAATAAAATTCAAAATTTACTGTTGTAAGGTTTTATTTTAAAAGTTCAAAACCTTACAACAGCAAAAATGTCTAAAACTTTAAAAATGTTTTAATATTTAAGCATTACAACAGCAATATAATCATGAATTCGTACTGTTTCAAGCTTCTAATTATGAACTTTTTAATTCCGTTAAAATTTGAATTCTTTAATATATCTTTTTTGAAAATTTTAAAACCGTTATAAATCAAAATCCACGATATTTAAAGCCACAGAAATGCGCTCAACTTCCCAAAATGTCAACCCTACCGCTCACATGCATTTTATTTTAGATTAATTTTATACAAATGCGGCATGATATAATCAATGAACTTTCAACCGTTGACTAAAAGACATGTAAGTATATTTTAATCGTGAATTAAATGTGTGACAATTAGTCAGGAAAATTCTATTTATAAATTCAGGAAGAGCATTCGAAGGTTTAGAATTAAGCCACTCATGTGTCTTGCATTTTTGAGCTTTTTGGGCTTCACGTTCTTCCTGACTTCAACAATTTTGGTATTTGTGTATTATGACAGCCTTAAAGAGTTCCTTCATAGCCATTATGGAGCTAAAATTGGTAAAATCAACATTATCGATGTAAATTCTTAAAAAAATTAAATAATTCTGTTAATTTTAGACCATATGATAGGCTTCATTATTCTCAGTGGATTTCATGCCTTTGCATTTGGCTTAATAACAATTCAATTGGTTGTGGTAAAGCCGAAAACAACAAAAGTCATTATTCCACTTGTCATTGTCGTTTCGACAGCATTTTTTCTACTTGTTGCAATTGATTTCTTTATTGAAGTCCATCTACTCCATGTAACGCCAAAGGAACAGCTGACAAAGACTCATGATGACAAGGCTGAAATGCCAGAAGATGACCAGACTAAAAAATTAAAAAAGAAAGGAAAAGGATTTAAATTGGGATATTTGGTGATATATTCGAGCATGTGTGTTGTCGTGTGGTTCCTATATCTCGCTTTTAAGGATCTTGAAGAGGATTTGGAGCGACAAAAGAGTGAAAATGAGCCGATGGAAATCACAATCAGTCATATCACATAAAATTTTATGCAATTTTCTCCAAACACGCAGTAACTGCCACATGATGCTTGTTTTTCTTCAGATTCTCAGTGTGTGCTGGTTTTTAAGCATAAATTTGTGCTTGCAAGCTTCATTTGGCAATTTTAGTTATTAATTTTGTAACATTTTGGAAGTGATAAATGGATTCAATAGTTTTTGACACATAAGAAATAACAAAAATGGTTAATAATCCTTCAAATTCAATAAATTTAATTCCAAATGATTTAATTAAACTTTTACATATCATGATTTTAGTATGTAACACACAGATTGTGAGAAAAAAGGATTAGTTTTAATTTTGCAGCATCGATTACTTTGAAGAAATTCCCCAAAAAAAGCAGTTAATAAGTCAAGAGCTTTACTTTCTTGAATGTTGGATTTCTTTTTACAGTAACTCTGCAAATTAAAACAGATGCAATAGATAATTATTAAGGCAGTATTTTAACACATTTGTAGTCTTACTCTCGTGGAGGAACCAATTCTTTTTCTAATGAATCCTTTTTTTGAAAAAGTGTCGTGACTTTTGATGGATTGTTGACAAACTGGTCAGGCACGCTTAATGTCATTTTTTGGAATATGCTGAAATGTACAGGAAGACAATAATGAGCTAGCTATTCTTAGTATTTTGGAATTTATTACTTCTTGATGACGGAGAAAGCAGCAGCTTTTATATCCATGCTACATTGATACGAATGAGCTGATTGGAAAATCTTTTGTGCATTTTTAGCACATAAAATTTTAAGCATTCCTTCCTCACAAATGGCTTTTAGACCTTCAATTTGATAGTAATCGGAAGCATACAAAAGATCGAAGACATGCTCAGATAAGTTGTGGACCTCGTCAGTATAGATGTATCGAATTAGTTCCTTAAATGATGCTGCCTTAAGATTTTGCGAGTTGACAATTTGCTGATTAAGATTCTTTTCCTTAAAATCCGAATAGAACATTTTTTCGAACACTGGACTGCGAGCTTAATTAAATAATCAATTAGTTTACAATATATTTAACTTAATACTACTAAATACTAACCAGCTAATATGATCTTGCTGACTGGAATCTTCTCATTTTCAACAATGAAGGTAAAGTCGCTTAACATTTGATTAAATAGCATTCTTTTCATGTCAGACTTGAGATTACTCTCGTTTTTAGATGATGTTTGGGATATCTAGGTGTATCAAAAATAATTATTATATACAGCACATCCGAAAATCGAGGAACACTGGATTTGTAAATCTATTGATTTGCTTACGTTGATTTCTACTGCTTTTCTCGAGGAGGGATAGCCACAGCAGTAAGATTTAGCACTTTTTGGCCGATTACAAAACATGCAGAAGTCGGTGACAGTCAAGTCTAAAGTTCTGGATGTTCCAAATATTCAAGTAAATTTTGAAAAACTTAAAATTATCACTTACATATCGTTTCCATCGACTTTTTGTGTAATCTTGGTCGAAGACAAGTCATCTGTCTTCCAGTGAGCCTTCTCCATGATCGATTTTAGTAGTAAAACTTTAATTAATGATGATTTTTATATTTAACAAAATCACAAAATTTTAAGTTCAAAACATGAAAAAAAAAATTGAACTTTGATAAATTCAAAATCTCAAAATTCGTTATATTATTGAACTCAAAACTTAATAGTTCGTAAAAAGGTTTAAAATGTTAAAATCACACAGAAATAGTTTATTTTCTTCCCTTAAATTTACATATTAACTCATTAGTATGTATTTATTTTAAAATTTAAATTGTTGTGATTAAAAATAGAATTAGATGCTCTGGCATGGCTGACTTAAGTCTGAATGATAACTTAAAAATGGACGAACTTAATTATTGTTGATCACCTGGAATAAAGCTCATCTGTAGGTTTACTTCTTACTCTTTGGTATAGTAATTGCCAATTCCTTTTCCAATGATTCTTTCTTCTCAAATAGCTTGGCTACTTTTGATGGATTATTGACGAATTCTTCAGGCACGATTAAGTTCATACTCTGAAATATGCTGTAAAATAAATGAAGTTAATAGTGAACTTGGTAAGTTGAGATTTTTTACTTCTTGATGATGAGGAAAGCAGCAGATTTCAATACACTTTTACACTGATACGAATGAGCTGATTGGAATATCTTGTAGGCATTATTAGCACATAAAATCTTTTGCAGCTCTTCTTCGCAAATAGCTTTTAGACCTTCAACTTGGTAATGGTCAGCTGTGTGCAATAGATCAAAAACATACTTCGATATGTTGCAGACTTCACCAGTGTAAATATATCGAATCAGTTCTTTAAATGCTTGCTTTAGAAGTGGTGACTTGATGGTTAGCTCATTTTTATTCTTTTCCTTAAAGTCTGTGAAGAACATTCGTTTAAACACAGGACTGCGGGCTAAAGATTAAAAGAGTCAGTATAAACTTAATTATGCTATTTAATAAGCACATACCAGCTAGAATAATCTTGCTCACAGGAATTCTTTCAATATCCACAATAAAGATAAAATCACTTAAATTTTCATCGAATAGAGCTTTCTTCATATCAGCTTTAAGATCGCAGTTGTGCTCTATACTTGCCTGAAGTACACAAAATACTTATTTAATTGAAATAGTTTAATTAAATTAACTTACTCACATTAACTTCTAGATTTATAATATTAGAAGTATAAGAGCCACAGCATGAATAATCATTTTTACGCTCTCGTTTGCAGTATGAACACAGCTTTTTTGGAACCAGCTTCAAAGTTCTGATTTAAAAATCAATTTTAATTAAAATACACAAAAAAGGAATAAAAACAGAGAAAAATCTTACAATGTGCCGCTTCTGAAGCATCCTTTAATTGGAGCTGGAATCTTAGAAATCAAGTCATCTACTTTGATAGTTATTTCGTCCATTGTTCTTATTAATTAAAGTTAAATTAATTTTTTCACAATCGAAGAATTAAAATGTGTTTTGAGTTTAAAACTGAAAGTTTTGGTTCAAAAATTGAACTTTAGAAGATTTAAATAGCAGAAGTTCGTTTAATTTAAATCATCGCTCATCATCGAAACCGGTATTAATATTTAATGTTGAAAATAAAGGTTGGAAAAAGGCTTAAACAAGTATAATCGCTAGATTTAACCATTCAGTTCCTTCTCAAATGAATCCAATTTATCAAAAAGTTTGGCAATCTTTGTTGGAGTGTACAGGAACTCATCTGAAAACTTGTAGCTCTTAGCTTCAAAAATCTTGAATCACACAAAAATGTTTTATGAACTTACTTCTTAATTAAAGCATAAGAAGCTTCCTTCAAGTCAAATGTGCATTGATACAAGTGAGCAGCCTGGAAAATTTTGTTTGCATTCTCTTCAGTTAAGCATGAGTGCAGTTCATCCTCGCAAGTTTTCTTCAAACCTTCAACTTGATAATAGTCAGCAGCATGCAACAAATCAAATACATGACTATATAAGTAATAGACTTCACCAATATAGATGAATCTGATCAGTTCCTTAAAAGCCTCATTTGGAATTGTTGTATTCAGAACATGCGAATCTTTAGTCTTTTCTTTAAAGTTCGAATTGACAACTTGTTAAAAACGGGACTTCTGGCTGTAATACAGGAGAAATAAGTAAATTATAGCACTTTCTGAGGTCTTGAAATGAGCTTTTACCTGATAAATAATGATCTTGCTGACTGGAATCTTTTCGTTCTCTAAGCTGAATGTAAAGTCATTTAGACTCTCATTGAACAAAGCCTTTTCAAGGTCAAAGATTAGTTCCTTTTTGTACTTATTAGTGGCTTGCAAAATCTACGAGAAATGTTTAAATTAATTTTAAATTGTTATTTTTAAATGTAATAGCCTTTACATTAATTTCACATCCTTGTTTCCAGGTACTATAACCACAACAGATAATATTATTATTCTTCTCTTTGCTACAATAATGACACAAATCCTTTACGATAAAATCTAAAGTTCTGGATGTTGAAAAAATAATTTCAAGTAAACAAAAAATCAGCAAATTTTAAATTTAAAGCACTTACACATCGTCTCCATTGACTTCTTGACTAATGTTAGTCGAAACTAAGTTTTCAATTAACCAGCTAGATTTGTCCATAGTTGATTTGAGTTATAAACTATAATTATCGATGATTTTAATCAATTTTAATGTTTAACAAAACAAAATCACAAGACTCAAAGTTCAAATCAGAAATGAGCGTTAATTTTTCAAATTTGAATCTTCCGTTATTCTTTATTAATCTTAGATTTTTATTTTATGTTTGATATTATATTCAGTTTTTGTTGATTATAGTCAGTTCCAACAATTCACGTTCTAAGGACTGTTTCCTTTCAATTATCTTTTGAATCTTATATGGATGATTGATGTATTCTTGAGGCAGTGCATAGTTCTTAGATTGAAACATCCTAAAGCCAAAAAGACAAGAATTTTAAAAAAGCAGCAAAAATTATGAATAGCCTACGTACTTTTTGATAAAGCCATAAGCAGCTATTTTCAATTCATCGCTGCAACGATACAAATGAGCAGCTTGAAAGACTTCGTTTGCATTAGTGTTATTTAAATTAGCTAGCAATGCCTTTTCGCAGATAGCTTTAAGGCTATCGATTTGAAAGAAATCAGCAGCATGAAGCAATTCTAATGCATGCTTGGTTAATTCGCTGACGTCATTAATGTAAATGTAGCGAATCAGTTCCTTAAATGCTTCAGTTGATATTTTGACACCCAAATTTTGTTGATTTTCAGCCTTTTCCTTAAAGTCCGAGTAGAACATCTTTGCAAACACCGGACTTCTAGCTGAAATGTATAAATCTGATAAGAAACAGTCAGTAAGAGCTAGAAACGACATGTTACAGACCAGCAAGAATGAATTTGTTGACTGGAACTTTTTCATCGTTTACGATGAAAGTAAAGTCACTTAAAGTGTCGCTAAACAATGTTTTCTCTAGATCAGTCTTAAGCTCACAATTGTGATGAACAGTTGCCTTTAATTAGAGTAAATTAATAAATATAATTTAAAATAAATATTTTAACTGTATATACCTTAATATGAAGGCATTTCTTATATGCATAATATCCGCAAACGCAACCACAATGAACGTTTCCTCTGACT